AAAGTTGGTCAAAGGATCTACTTCACTTGTTTCTTTGACGAGTTGTATCTTGGTGCGAAGATTGGCAAGGCTTACTCATAATGCCGTCGATACGTCTGGTAATTATGGTAAATACTGCAGCAGAGGACCTCGGACAAGGTGCGTCCAACTAAGTCTCCCTGTTAACACGAACAAGTTGCACGGTCAGCCCACTTATAATTTCAGGCTATTGGCCGAAGTTTTTAACAGTACTCTTTTAACCTTAATTCCAATTAATTGTTAATCCTGACCTTAAACCCACATCCTACTAAGAAATATGGGATCGTTGAGTGTGCGGGAGGTTTCATTTTACCTCTAGTGAGACATTGCACTTGACTTTTTATATTCTTCATTAATAAATTCCTCATAATTCTGTGGTCAAGTCAAACTTAGCATTTTCGATAAATAATTGCGCCAAGTATTTACGCTTAATATCCACGATCTATTATTTTAATATATATGGTTTGAATAGGTCTTTAAGCTGCATTTCTTATCCATTTCTTATTATTTCTATATGCGATATATTCTCGAATCTCTGCTTATATACGAAAAATTATTTCTATAGTTTCCTTACGTGATCATTTTGTTTATTGCCCCAAGATAATGTTTGGTTATGAAACCAGGGAATTTTCATTATTTTAACATAGTTTTTATTGTTTTAATTAACATCAATTAAATCTGGCCGCTCTTGATATTTTGCTTTAAATTCCAGGTGTTTCGACTATATACAGAAGAGGCATACAATGAACTGCTCCCCGACTTCACAGCTCCAGAGTCTCATCGCGCCGACTTGTCCGGAGCTTTACTGCAGCTCATGACACTTGGCGTTGATAAGCCTGTCGCATTCGATTGGCTCTCACCACGACCCCCTCCAGCTCACATGGGCCAGGCTGCGGAGCGTCTAGTTGCTTTGGGTGCCATCGAACTTGCCTCCAACCGACCTAACGGCCCTCAGCACTTGACTAGGCTGGTTGAGCACCGCGCCAGACAACTAGCTACTATATGTGCCTCTTGTGGGCTCGACACTCCTGCAGCAGCCTCGGCGCTCCTTGGCGCTGCAGAAGAGGGTTGCACGAAGGAAATGGCCGCTATTCTTGCTCTCATGCAGGTAAAACACACGCAGGCTAGCCGAATAATTTACTCGTGCCAAATAATACTTTACTTTATAAAATGCACGTATTTTGTATTCACCTCTTGCCCTATTTCGTAAAATAGGCATACTTGCTCTGATGATGTCTGTTGTGGTACAGACGAAAGCTTAGCACACGTTCATCCATGTCGCAAGACGGGGAGCTGAGGATTTCTTCTTACAATCCAACAGTCTTTACTCCGCGACAATCCTCATTTGATTTCCGATGAGGCCATTTCATGAATTCCTTCTAACCAACGTTCCCCTTGAAATGGAAAGTTACGTCACAATTATGAAATGGTTTTAGATCTACGATGAATAGGTAGTATTATGTATAGTAAAATCATGCTCGGTTTTTTTTCAGGAATTTCAACCATGAATAAATTTGCATCCTTTGGTCTTATTCAAGCGGCAGTACTGCTTTTTTCTCTTCATTTTATTTCTCAAAAACATATTATTTTGAACCCTATTTCTATATCCACCGGCCTAAAAGTTTGCATCTATAACAAGCGCTTAGCTACTATGATTTGCCCATTATTCTTATACTTCTTTTATAGCAAGAATCCACGCCTAATCTTTCAGTTGCGAAAACCGGCTTCATAGTCATTGTTATGTAGCTTTATATTTACTTTATTTTATAATTGATTACCCTTTCGTACAATTATCCAGACGTAGTTCTATTTTCTCGTTTCTTATTTCACCTTATTAGTACTATCAGCCTGTAGCATTCCAGTATTTTTAGAAGCGTTGCTTACCTCACTTAACCTCTAGCCCGACTATTCTGGTAGGCGATTTACTTTTTCTGAGTAGAAGATAGTGCAGATTGTTTCTCTTGGCCTTTGTATGCTTTTAAGGCTGTACCATTCTCTTTTTGATATTCCTTTAGTTCATCATCGCTAGGCACTATAATTAATCTACTTAGCTGGCTAAATGAATTTACATTTATGTTCCTTATTTTGAATTCTGGAAGCCGACTTACAAGAAAATAATATACTGACGGCAAGATTCTAAGTCTATAGCTTTTGGGCAAGTAAAGAGTCTCCTCTGAAATCAATCTATTCAGAAACAAACCTCTCGAAAGCCTCTACATGAAGTTGCGCTAATTGAGATGTTTTGTGTGCAGATAAATAGGTTCAGATATGTTGCGGCTGCCCATATTAAGCCATATGTACTAGTGATTAACGCAGCTGAAAATTTTTCTCTCCTTTCATTTGTTGTTCAAGCAAATGAATGAGATTCACTCTTGATTGGTCTAGTCGAAATATACATCCGTTCCACTCGTCTCTTCAAACGAAATAAAAGTTATCAGTTATGGATTCTTTTCGAGGATTTTCGAACCTTACTTATGTGATGATGCCCATGTGGGGGAGACATGTCCATCTATTCGTTTGATATTATTTGAACTTAAACCCCCCCAAAAAGGATTATAGGTCCAAATATCTTAACTGGCTGGACACGTAGCTAACACAGGACACCTAAGAAAATGATTTAAAATATAATGCTTTTCAAAATACGATGATTTCAGCATAAGGTTAAAGTGTATATATAAATAAGAAAACGATCAAAGTCCTCGATAGAAGAAACGAGTGTAGGACATCGAAGGCGAATTATTTGTGGCTGTTTTATAGGCTTGGTTAAAGGGATCAGGAAGAACCGCTGAAAAAGAGGAGCCTTGGATATATCCGTATCTGGTTCTGACCCTTACACTTCACATAACTTGAAAATTTCATGCTCACGACACACCATGCAGTATATTCGGACAGCTCCACCACTATCTAAAAATGTCATTCTAGCAACATCATACGATGGTTAAACCGTCGATACTCAGAGGCTCAGTGTACAATCAAGCCATCTCATCAATTTATATGCAGTCATTACCAGTTTATTTACAAATGACAACAATCAGATTAATCATAACTAAGATCGAATGAGCATTAAACCGCCCTAACAATTAATAGTCGTAACTAAATAAATGGTTTCCGTCAGTTTAATTCTACTACGACCTCGGCTATTATCCTTTGCTAAGTGTCAGACCTTATTTTAGTGTTGACGCGCATTTATATGCTCATATAGCGTATATATCTCTTTCATCAATATCGGCTAATACACTTAGAGGAATAGTCTGAATGTTTTCTACATCAAATCGGCACCCCCTCCTATTATTACCTGATAAAAATTGCTTGTGACTGAGTTCCCCTTATTCAGGCAAATCTCAAACCTTCCTTCACTCTTAGGCAATACTAACTTCTTTCAGCGACTGGTTCAAAATTGTCCTAACATCCTAATCTTGCCCTATGATTAACTGATGTCCAAACGCATGGGCATCAATCTTTCAGAGGATGCACGGAGAGGGGCCTAGTCTATATCAGATGAAGAATCAATTTACATTTGTTTGATACGTACACGATGTCTTTTCTTTAGAATCTTGTATGTCTTTTTATGCCTTTGAGGAGTTATGGATAATCTCCACTATTCATTCGTCTGATCTTAATACCTTTCGGCCCGTAAAGCATTGTTTTTGATGCGGAATTACTCTTTGAATAGTATTTTTTAATCATATTGAGTATCCTTCGACTATTGCAGAGATAAAATAGTATCTCTTCGATATATTCTAGCGATTTTATTCTTTATTTATATTTAATTGTACTTTTTCATACTCCCCAAACTGAGCCTGCTTTTTATCCAATAATAGCTACAACATGTATTTGTGACATCACCAGGCATGCGAAAGACGGGTGATCGACAGAAACGCATGAACTTCGGCTGCAAGCAGGGCGATCATCTTACAGGTTACTACTAGTAATAATTATCTTTTTACAGTCAAATCATTATTGAGTTCTGTTATAATTGCGTGTCGAACCTAACTGGAAATCTTGTTTCATGACTGGATGGACACTATTTTAGGCACTGACATCTGGTTAATGAACATAACTTCTTTTTGAGTCCCCTTGATATCCCTTTTGACAGAAATACATAGGGCAATGCTGCCGACCATTTA